AGATTCTATACTGTATATGTTATTAGATATCTATTTTGTATATTGTGAAATAAATCAAATTATGTTAATTTAATTTTTCAAATAGACAGACACTGAACTGTCATACTTTCTGCTCCTGGTTTGCAGTGAAGACAGTAAGAGATGCACTGTTAATCCACTTCCACAGTTGGTTCAATTCCTTCTGTTAGGCATCTTAAATCAAGTCATGAACAACTAAGACAGGTGAGATGAGTTCAAAGTTTACAGTGACACCATTCCAACATATTCTTTATGTAGTCTTATGTCTGTGCCATAGCTGGCTGAAGAAAGATTTCAAAATATAAACTTTAATTTTCACCTTTCAAAACATTGGCTTCTAAACAGATTCTGCCCTGAGGCCTTAGTTTGATAAAATAAACATTAACTTCCCTGACTGTGGTAGTGAAAACATTTGGAGAGTAGGTATATTTGGAGAGTTTAACTGATTCAATCCAACTGAAATACACAAATGATACCAATGCGTGTAACCGTTATATATAGTAATACATGGTGATGTTACCATAAAGCACAGTTATATAATCACAAAAATGTTGTTTGTATTATTAGCTATATCATCATACAGTACTTATTACAGTTTCCCTGAAGCCTCTAATAAGTTTACTAACAACACATTTTAATGTGTCCTTGGGTTTAGAATATTTGTAATTTTAAAGACAACAGATTATGATTCTTCAGAATTCCTTCTGAAACGCTTTTGGGGATTGACAGCACTCTGTCCCCTTATAGTTTTTGTACATATTTCAGACATACAACTTTAGCAATTACAGCAACACACAGTGATTTATTATTGTTGTAATCTCATTCGTTGCTCTTTAAATTGTCCAGTTTTATCTAGAGATCTCACATGTATTTTTGTCTTACGAATTGTGCCTAACGGCTGATAGGCAGAGTTACCCTATTTAAAGTTAATATTTATAGTAATGATATTAAGCAAATACTAAGTTATTATGAGATTATGCTCAGCAACCTCTGTCCACAATTAAAATACTTGTCCACATTTAAATCTTTATTCTAAGACCCAGCTTTTAGAATCAAGGGTGTTGCATTTGTCTAAACAATCCCTTTGATAGTTTAACCTGATGTAGTGTGGTAAGAAATATGTAAATCCTTAAAATCTTACCATAATTTAACTTGCACATGCACAGGTCCACAATTTTGTGCACTGTGTCAAAGGCAAGAGAATTATTAACTTAGAAAAAATATGACAAATACTCAGCAGATATGCTGGCAGGGATCATATAGCACCACCATCCTTCCTTTCCTTTTTTGACAGTTAGGGGCTCCCAGTCCCTCCTTCCTGTATTTTTATCATACACTTTTCTAGGCCTTGCATTTGAGACTCGTGCTCATTCTCTGTCCCTTTATTTGCATATTATTTAACATACAGTAACTTTACATTAGATTTACGTTAAATAAATTAATGCCTGGTCCTAAAAGGCTGCCAATCACTAAAAGCACTATTTTTCAAATTTAATTGTAGATTAATTCTAAAATGTAAGATTAAATTCTACCATATGATGGGTATTGTAAGCATACGTACTTGCTAGACCAGTGTAAATCCTGGTCTGTGTGACTAACTGTACTGCCTGAAAAGATAAAGAATTGCAATTGGGTTAAAGAAGGGTATTACTGTGGGACAAATGAATAATTAACCCCATATCATCACATATGTAAATGTAATGATTTTTAGTGAATAGAAATTAAACACTTTAATTTTAAAATCTAAAATCATGGGCAAGATAAATGGCTGCTGCAATACTTAAATTAATAATCATCATCAATTTCTTACTAATAAAGGATTATGGTATATGTTGTATATTATGGACAATATGTATCATTTTAGGGCAACTACATGGTAATTATATAATGTTTTATGAAGTAGTATAACTAAAAGTACAATGTGTCTGCATACAGTACAACTGATATACAGTACAGTTTATATCTTAAGAGTGTGAGTGCCGCAAAAATCACCTCATTAAGTCATTAAGTGAGAGTGTTGATTTGGCATGGGAGATGAGAAAATGTGAAGATCTGAAGTACTGAAAATAAAGAAAGAAAAGCACACTGCTTATTCTACTGCATGGGAAATTTCAGGACAGACAATCACTAGGAGTCCAATGTTCATTGACAAGATGCGATTAGGTGAACATGCTAGTAAAGGAGTCAAGTTCTCTGTAGTCGTGAACCAAGGTCTGAATGGTGTCAGAGTGGTCTAGGTTTGACAGATTCTTCAGCAGTGCCTAGTTGCTACAAAATTTCAGTTGTAGTGACTGATGGTAACATTGATGGTGACATGACTGCACAGTGTTGACAAACAAAAGAATGGATGTTCCAGATAGACAGAAAAGTGGTTGTCCAAACAACGCCACGATGGATGAGATAGTGTTAGGGCCTGATGGTATGATTAGGGAAAACAACAACAACATGCTTAATTGTAACTGAATTGTAAAATCAATTCCCTGGTTGCCATACACAAACTTGTCTGTGGGCAGTTGCTGCCCGGGTTCTTAATCAGTTCACTCATCAGTTCTGACTGGATAGGACCATCTTATCAGTATTTACCACTGCCTTGTAAAAGGGGTGCACACTCCCAACCATACCTGTACCGTAATGTATGCAGTTTTACATGTGGAAAGTGTTGGTCCTTGCACCTTACAACCCCTTGAACTTGACACTGCTTGATCTCTACCATGTTGGGTTTGCTTCCATAGCTTTGGTATTAGTCACACTTGCAACCATTTAAAAATACATTCCTGTGCGATCTATACAGAAGTAGTGTGGAACAGTAAGTTAAGGTTCTGGGCTGGGTTCTGGATTCAATGCCTGGGCGTAAGGCTGCTCTTGTACTCTTACAAAAAACGGATTCAAATTGCTCAAGTAAATAGGTATGATGTAATCAGATAATTTTCTGGTCATTGTACATGCACGTCATTCATTTATTACAAAATTCAAATTGTAATGGTGAATTTATTCTTAATTGATTTCCTTGACAACTATATATTAGTTGACAATTATACTGAAATTGGTACATATAAAATAATGCGACTTTTTAAGAACTCTTGTATATTAATAAAATTCATTCCTTTATACACAATCCATTTTCTAATCACTTCATCTAATTCAGGGTAACAGGGCAGCAGAAGCCTATCCCAGGAAGCAGCAAGCACAAGGCAGGATGCATCTATCCATTGAAGGGTACACACAGACCCAAAGCCAGCTAACCTTCCAGTATATCTTTGTGGAAAGAAACTGGAGCACCCAGCAATAAAAACCACAAACACAGGAAGAACATTCTGTGCAAACTCCACACAGATAGCACCCCAGGTCCAGAATTAAAACCCAGATCCCCAATGCTGCAAGACAGAAAAGCTAAACACTGTGCACCATGCTGCCCATGTGATAAGGCTTCTGATTTTACTTTTTTATGCTTTAGTTTTCCGTTTAATACAACATTATTAAATAAAGACTGAGATACTGTGTGTTTATTTACTTTAAATAATATATGTGTCAAGTAATATAATCAGCACAAAAAGTGAAATACTGAGAAGTGAAATATAGTTCTTAGTGTCTCCAATAAATGCATTAATCTATTTCACTTTTACTTTTGTGGATTCCCTATTTGTTTCAGCAAAAGCCATGAGACTAATTTTTCCAGGTCTAAATTCTAAATTAATCGTACATTAATTCACATAATGTGTATATTATTCTCCAATGCACTGTCCATTCACTTATGTAGGAGAAAACATGAAGCACAGTCTTGGGGGATCAGCTGACAGGTTCAAGAGTGCTCAGCAGTTCCTCGTGTTCTTTTCTGACAGAGCTGACCAGATGACTGTCTCCCAGCCCCCTTACTCATATTTTTTACCACATACCTTACTGTACATTACACTGAGACTGAATTCTATTTGTGGTTTCCAGTCAGAAATTATTTCAGCAATATATTTTGCACATTTACAAACTGAAATAGTAAATTAGAGGGCTGTTGAATTCAATTTCAGCAAGGACATTTTTTTCTTCACCACTGTAAAACACATTTTCAGTACATTTTAAATAAACTACCTTAATTATAGTTTTTTTCATAAAGCACAAATAATGACCGCCTTCTCCACCAGGAGAGGAATAAAACAAGTTAAGTTTAGAAAAACAAGAAAAGTTCCCTATCCATCACTGCAGGCACTTTGTCCCTATTAAATATATATATATAACATAAAAGAAAGTTACATGCATTAGAATGTTATCAGTCATAAAATCATTTATAAATCAATTATAATTAATATTGACTTATACTAAAAATATTTTAGGACTAGTGTTTCCAATAATGTTTTTACCAGTTTTGGTAGTCAACAATATCATTAAATCTAAATTATGTATCATATAAAATTATAATTAGTACTAAGAACTTTTAATTTCTAAAATCAGTGATCTATTTTGCAGCAAAACTAGGTATACTCAAAATGTGTATCTGTTTCCATAAAATGGCAAATACTAATAATACCAATCTTAAGGTAGTCTAATAGCTCATTTAAATAATAATAATAATAATAATAATAATAATAATAATAATAATAATATTGCATAATGTTAGTAACTTCTAATTAAAGTTAAATTAAATATTAATTAAATACATGGAATTATTGTAGTCTGAATGTAGTAATTTATTAATTTGATTTTGATAGTTTTTCATTTCTCATTTTCTGGGCAATTAAATATCTAAAGATATTCTGACTACATTTTGTGACTACAAGTTGCTTCAGTATTTTAAGCACAAAATCGCACATGGAATGCTTGCTTTACGTGAACTATAAAAGAGGAGATTTCAATATTACCACATGAAAAACTAACACCACTATTTACATGCTGAATAGAAAATGATAATGTGGCTGTATTGGGAACTGATCAGCACTACATGACCAAATATAGCAGGGCCCCTTTTGCTGGGCTGGCAAAACGATCTCAATAAAAGCAGCTCCAAGACACCTCCTCCAGCACTGAGAAGCCTGCCAAGTTCCAACTAGTGGTAAGCTGCTACTTAAGTTTTTTTTTATTTTGTTATTGGATCAGTTAATTTAGAACTGATTGTTCAATATTAACAATACCCAGAAAACTCACATTTAAATTTTTAAACTAGTACAAACAAAAGTTCAGTTCCTATAAATAAATGGACACTTCTCCCTACAAACCACAACACATCAAAATAAGTTTTAAATTATTAAGGTTTCCACAAAACAAATCACCTGATAATTGCTTCATAATGGGTTGTAATATTTTATGTCAAAATGACCACATTTCTTGAGATTTAATGCTATCAATATAAATATTGAATGAAGAATAGTCCAACTATAGGCCAACAGTCCAGAAATATTCAGTTTAAAAAAAAAACAATATATGTTTGCTTTGCAGTGCTGCGGAGTATTCAATATTCAGCTTCCTGGGGTTGGTGTTAAAAAAGGTAAGAAATCAGCAGTAAGTATGTGAATAAATAAGAAAGTGCTATAAGAGCACACACAAGTAAAATTTTGACGTGTAAAATATTAGTCAAAAGTAACATCTGAGCTCAGATGTCCAGTAAGACTGGGATCATTCTTTAGTCTTTTAGTTTTGTTCTGATAAGAAAGAATAAATGTATTCAGTTGTCCAGGTTCTATTGTGCTACTTACTGTTACAACATCTTGTATAGTTAAGCTCTGCCTCTGTTAATTATTAGATTGAATTTGTACATTACAGTTTGTCAGACTGTTTCCAAAAGAAGTTAATCACTTTTGTGGCAGAACCAAGGGGTTTGTCCACCCACTTTTCAGAATTTAAGAAAATTAGATTTCTGAAATTGCAGTAAACTGTGTGAATAATGTACCAAAACAACTTTATGGAAAATGTATTACCTTTGTAGGTAGTAAGCAAGCTGAATCTGATACTAAGAATGTAATAACAGAAGACTGTTGAAGAAGGTCTTCTGAGGAATATTTCTTTTTTCTACAGTTTATAATTTTCAAAGACACTCAAACACTTAGTGTTCATTTGGACTGGGAGATTGAAAGGCATCAATAACTTATTTAAAAATGTATTTTGTAACTTTTGGAAATCTGGTTTAAAAGTAAAAGTAGCAAAGATATTGGTAGTGCTCTTATGAAGCTTTATCCTTTTTTAGAAGATTAAAGTAACAATGGGCATAGGAAACTACTGGCCATTCTTTAAAATTGTGCAGGAATAAATACTTATGTTGTTTTCAAAAGATTATAAAGCAGAATCTTGTCACTCTGAAGTAAACAAGACAGTTTTAGTCATGGAGTACTTGACAAAGAGAAGAATGTTGTATGAATCATTCTGTATCATTACAGTAAGCCGCCACCATGAGTACCGACGCGGAGATGGCTGTATTTGGCCCAGCCGCCATTTACCTAAGAAAGCCTGAGAAGGAGAGAATTGAGGCCCAAAACAAACCTTTTGATGCCAAAACCGCTTGCTTCGTTGTCGATGCCAAGGACCTGTACGTCAAAGGTGTTATCCAGAGCAAGGAAGGGGGCAAAGCCACCGTCAAAAATGAGGCTGGGCAAGTAAGTACTGTAGCATCATGCAAAAGCAAACAGTTATTTTTATAATTATTATATATATGCATTTTATTATAAATATATGTATTTTGTTTTACCTAGAGCGGTCTATTTGTTATTTAATTTTTCAGACTGTAACAGTGAAGGAAGATGAAGTGTTCCCCATGAATCCTCCCAAGTTCGATAAAATTGAGGACATGGCGATGATGACCCACCTGAACGAGCCCTCTGTGCTGTATAACCTCAAAGAGCGTTACGCAGCCTGGATGATTTACGTAAGTGATTCATTGAAGCCTAGAAAGTTGTACTTTTAAAGAAAGAACAAGTAACAACAATTACAATGTGACCCTTCTATTAGTAAACCCTTTTTACTCATTTCAATTTCAGACCTACTCTGGGCTGTTTTGTGCGACTGTGAACCCCTACAAGTGGCTCCCAGTGTACAATGCAGAGGTTGTGGCAGCCTACAGAGGCAAAAAGCGTATGGAGGCTCCGCCACACATCTTCTCTGTCTCTGATAACGCCTATCAGAACATGCTCACTGGTGAGTGAATCTATGCCAAATACAAAGTAAAAATTTGTAATTTAGACAGCAATACTATGAAATATATCTAATTAAAAGCTACATATTTACTAATACTCTCATATCATATCAACAGATCGTGAGAACCAGTCTGTTCTGATTACGTGAGTATGAATCCTGTGTTTGACTTTGATTTTCACAATCTTAAAAAATATCAAACGCAAAGTTTCAAACTTATTTCTTATTTAACCCTTAGTGGAGAATCCGGTGCTGGAAAGACTGTGAACACGAAACGTGTCATCCAGTACTTTGCTACAATTGCAGCAATTGGGGACAAGAAGAAAGAGGCTCCAGCCGCTGGCAAAATGCAGGTTAGAAAATACTGTATTTTTTACAAGCTCCATATGAATCAGTTTGAATCATTCTGAATCAGTTTCATTGATGATTTACATGTCTCCTATAGGGAACCCTGGAAGATCAAATCATTTCAGCCAACCCTCTGCTGGAGGCTTTTGGAAATGCCAAGACAGTGAGGAATGACAACTCCTCTCGCTTTGTGAGTTCAAAACTCAATTTTCTCCCAAGCAGAACACATTTTTAAAAATGTTGTCATTTGAGTGTAATTCTGAATATGTTGATTCTTAACAGGGTAAATTCATCAGAATTCACTTTGGAACTTCAGGAAAACTGTCTTCCGCTGATATTGAGACTTGTGAGTGGTTTTTCATGTTTACACACTTCTGGAGTTTTCCCTCACATGCGGTTATTGTGACCTGTAGTTATATTCTATTTTTGCACATCTTTAATTTTGCATGCTTTTTAATTTTTGCGGATAATATAATGAAAGTTGACCTGCAATAAAAAAAAACCTTTTCACAGATTTGCTGGAGAAGTCCAGAGTAACATTCCAGTTGTCAGATGAAAGGAGCTACCATATCTTTTACCAGATCATGACCAACCACAAACCAGAGCTTATTGGTAAGACAGCAATTGTATTTCATTAATTTAAAAGGCTCATGTATGTGTGCACATTGGGTTATTAAATCCTTCATTTGTTTCATTCCAGAAATGCTCCTTATCACCACCAACCCCTACGACTTCCCCATGATCAGCCAGGGTCAGATCACTGTGGCCAGCATTGATGACAAGGAGGAGCTGGTTGCCACAGATGTACGTTCTCTTAATTAACTGAATTATCTTAAGTATGTATTTATTTTCCTTGTGACTAATAAGACCTATCTCTAATCACACAGACAGCCATTGATGTCCTGGGCTTCACTCCTGAGGAGAAAGCTGGCATCTACAAGCTGACTGGTGCTGTGATGCACTATGGTAACATGAAGTTCAAGCAGAAGCAACGTGAGGAGCAGGCTGAGCCTGATGGCACTGAGGGTAATTTTAATTTTTATTTTTCTTCCTTGCCTTATGCACAAATCCATAGGTAAGATATAATCCTTTAAAATGTTGACAAGTCACATGTTTAAAGGATTACCACCAGTTATTTGTATTCCTCAAGTAACATACCAAATGTCTATTATTCATTTTATGAAAATTACTTAAATTGCCCTTCTTTTTATCAGTGGCTGACAAGGTGGCTTACCTTTTGGGCTTGAACTCAGCTGACCTGCTCAAAGCCCTCTGCTATCCCAGAGTGAAAGTCGGGAATGAATTTGTCACCAAGGGGCAGACTGTTCCACAGGTAATACATTTAGCCATCTTCTGCCAAAGATTAATATTATGAATCATTTTTTATTATATATTCATAACATATTGATTTTTTACAACTGATTCCTTTACCAGGTCAACAATTCAGTTGGTGCTCTGGCTAAGTCTGTGTATGAGAAGATGTTCTTGTGGATGGTTATCCGCATTAACCAGATGTTGGACACTAAGCAGCCAAGACAGTTCTTCATTGGTGTCCTGGATATTGCAGGATTTGAGATCTTTGACGTGAGTAATATTTCCTAATGCATATTGTTGTACTTAAAAAAAACAATCATATATTTATGTGAATGCTTCCATCTACACTTTATTGTAGCTTTTCTTTACAGATTTTTTAAGAACAGTTATCTAAATCTTGAAAATTCATGTTTAGCACCATTTAGCTACAAAAGATGAAATTGCAAATCTATATATGATATATACTAATAATTGATCAATACTTCTTGGATACAGTACTTACCATGTATGTATGACACCTGATGTTTTAAGCACTGTTGTATTTATCCACACAGTTTAACAGCTTGGAACAGCTGTGCATCAACTTCACCAATGAGAAGCTGCAACAGTTCTTCAACCACCACATGTTTGTACTGGAACAAGAAGAGTACAAGAAAGAGGGAATTGACTGGGAGTTCATTGACTTCGGCATGGACTTGGCTGCCTGCATTGAGCTCATTGAGAAGGTTGGTAAACTACCTGGTCTTTTGAAGAAATGCAAGGTTAGTTCTATACCAAATTCTCAATTCAGGGCCCTCAAACTCTTCACTTTTTATCTAACAGCCAATGGGCATCTTCTCCATCCTTGAAGAGGAGTGCATGTTCCCCAAGGCCTCAGACACCTCCTTCAAGAACAAGCTCTACGACCAGCATCTTGGCAAGACCAACTGCTTCCAGAAGCCCAAGCCTGCCAAAGGCAAGGCTGAGGCCCACTTCTCCCTGGTGCACTACGCAGGCACAGTGGACTACAACGTCAGTGGCTGGCTGGACAAGAACAAGGACCCCCTGAATGAGTCTGTTGTGCAGCTGTACCAGAAATCCTCCGTCAAACTGCTGGCTTTGCTCTATGCCAGCTTTTCCTCTGCAGAAGGTGGTATGATTTTATTTAAAAAAAAATATTTTTCTTGAAAACAATGACAACTTTTAAAGGGGCAGAATTGTATTTCTATGAAATCTAATCTTTTTAACATGTACTTTTTCTAAAGAGTCTGGTGGAAAGAAGGGAGGCAAGAAGAAGGGTGGTTCTTTCCAGACAGTGTCTGCTCTCTTCAGGGTAAGGTATTTTTAAGGAAACATATACTTTAAGTATTTGATGATGCATAAATATGATACATGAATCAGTTAAAACAGGAGTTTCCCTTAAATTTTAAAGGAACCTTCTTAAAAGATATTGCACTCCTTTAAATTCTACTAATTATCACTGTGCAGGAGAACTTGGGCAAGCTGATGACCAACTTAAGAAGCACCCATCCTCACTTTGTGCGTTGCCTGATTCCAAATGAATCTAAGACACCAGGTACTGTGAATGTATACTTTCAAATGAATACCAGTATTTGAGTAACTTGATGTTTTTCAATCTATCTTTTAAACTAAGAGTTAGTTGCAGTTACTAATTCATTTTCATTCTAGGTCTTATGGAGAACTTCCTGGTTATCCATCAGCTGAGGTGTAACGGTGTGCTGGAAGGTATCAGAATTTGCAGAAAGGGATTCCCAAGCAGAATCCTGTATGGAGACTTCAAGCAAAGGTATCTTAAATCAAATCTCAGAGGTTCAAACATAGGAACAATAATGCTGCAATGTACCAATGAACTCCAGTCAAGTGCATTTCTGTGTAACTAAGTCTACTCTTATTTCAAGTTCTCTTTGCATAATTTTAACTTTCGTGCAGCACAATGGAAACAACACTGAAAGAATCACTATCATGGAAAATGCACAGTGGCAACAAAGTGCTCCCTGCCAATGTGAAGTTCAAATTACCTTTTATTCCTTAATTTAAAAAAAATAAAAATTGACCTTCTGACAAGTGAAATTAAAATGCAATCCCTATCAAAGCACATGCCTAAAATTTAGATTTATCTAAATATATAAAACTTATGTTTTAAGAAGGTACATACATGTAACTTCCAGTTAAGACAGCTGAACAGAATTTTGCTGAAAATATATACATCTATGTCTAGTATATACACATTCACAATAATTCAAATATTTGTTTTCTTTCAGATACAAAGTATTGAATGCCAGTGCAATCCCAGAGGGGCAATTCATTGACAGCAAGAAAGCCTGTGAAAAGCTCTTAGGATCAATTGACATCGACCATACCCAATATAAATTTGGGCATACCAAGGTAGGCTTTCAACAATGCAAATAACACAAGGAGAAGGAACCAAAGAAGGTACCTACAGTAGACAGTGAAATCAGAGCCTCAAAGCTACATATGTGATTCATGTAAGAAATGTAAAGGAGGAGACAGAACATATATTTACAGTATATCCATACAGTACATGCATTTTCAATAGATGCTAAATTCAATATAGGTTTACAAATAGCAGGAACCTAGTCTGACACAAGGCAGGACATTAGTCCCTACATGGGACACAAGTACATCACAGTTTACACAGAAACACATGCCCACACATGCATACTGGGACTCCAATTAACCCAAGAAACTAGAGCACTCACAGCCAGAACCAAACCCAGGAACTCAGATCTGTGAAACAACAAAGACATCACCTTGCAACCTTCATATACCTATATAAGTAACTAATAATTTTATATATGATTGGTATCCTTCTCACACATATGTGACCAAATATCTCATATACTGTACACTAGCTCCAAAGCCAAATCATTGGGTACTGTCATACTGTATTAAAATAAGTGGCTTTGTTACTGAGCATAATTGCATTTGTGTTGAAAGTTCGAATTCATAAAACAGACAATGTGTTTCAATATAGTGGGTCTCCTTGGGATTATATCTTTGAGAAACATATTACAATACATATCGTCTTTATTTTATTGATGTCCTACCCACCACACAATTTCCTCTTCAACTACAGGTATTCTTCAAAGCCGGTCTGCTGGGTACCCTTGAGGAGATGAGAGATGAAAAACTGGCTACCCTCATCACTTGTACTCAGGCTCTCTGCCGTGGCTACCTCATGAGAAAAGAATTTGTGAAGATGATGGAAAGGAGGTAATAATTAGCCACATAAAAGCCATTAATGGGTTCAAAATTGAGAAATCTATATTGAAAAATAACAATCATAGTTAACAGACTTATTTAATATAAGGAACAAGTAATAGGTTTATTCCATGCTGAAAAGAGAAGAAAGAAAACACAACGTTTCAGCCATGGATCCTTCTTCAGGTGTGAAGCAGCTACCCACTTTATTTAATATTTTATCAAATTTGATCTATAGGAAAATATGAAATTCCAGAGCAAATGTGAAATATGAAATTCCAGAGAGGTATGGAATGTACTTCAGAGAAGAATAATTAGTAGTTGTTTCGCAATGCACTTCACTTAATGAGATAGTACAAATCATCCATACTCTTCATCTTTTTCTGACATATCTGGCAGATGTAAAAAACCATTGTGGATTTTATGAAATTCTCTTTTCTTTTGTACAGAGAGTCCATTTACAGCATCCAATACAACATCCGCTCATTCATGAATGTGAAACACTGGCCATGGATGAAGCTGTACTTCAAGATCAAGCCTCTTCTGAAGAGTGCAGAGGCTGAGAAGGAGATGGCCAACATGAAGGAAGAGTTTGCCAAGTGCAAGGAAGACCTGGCAAAGGCAGAAGCCAAGAAAAAGGAGCTTGAGGAGAAAATGGTTTCTCTGATGCAGGAGAAGAATGACCTGCAGTTACAAGTGCAGTCTGTAAGCACTACCTTTCCATTTTATAATATTAAATCTTATTGTGCAGCTATTCCTAAAAAAAACACTTATTTTATATTTTACATGTACATCTTGTGAATATAATTTGAGATTTTCTAACTAAATTCAATTAATTATAAACAGGAAATTGAGAGTCTCTCAGATGGTGAAGAAAGGTGTGAGGGGCTGATCAAAATTAATTGATCATATGAAATAATAATAATTTTCCTATCCTGATTCTCTCCAGCTCAGTTGTTACCAACTATACAATCTCTTTCCAGGAATCTGAAAGTCTCTCTGATGCTGAAGAAAGGTGTGAAGGACTCATCAAAAATAAAATACAACTTGAGGCCAAAGTGAAAGAGATATCGGAGAGACTGGAGGATGAAGAGGAAATGAATGCTGAACTGACAGCCAAGAAGAGGAAACTGGAGGATGAGTGCTCTGAGCTCAAGAAAGACATTGATGACTTAGAACTCACCTTGGCCAAAGTGGAGAAGGAGAAACATGCCACAGAAAATAAGGTTTGCTTTCAAACTGTCTAGAATATCTTACTACTCATAAAAAAGTCAGCATAATGGTATGCTAAAACATTTAACTCCCCCCCACTGTTTTACACCTAAAACTAGGTTAAAAACCTGACAGAAGAGATGGCCAGTCAGGATGAAAGCGTTGCTAAGCTAACCAAGGAGAAGAAAGCTCTCCAAGAGGCTCATCAACAGACCCTTGATGATCTGCAAGCAGAGGAAGACAAAGTCAACACTCTGTCTAAAGCCAAGACAAAGCTTGAACAGCAAGTGGATGATGTAAGTGACACATTCCAATAAAAACTATCCATATATTCAGACAGCTTGAGCTAAATTTAATAGTTTGTCAAATATTCTAGCTTGAAGGTTCCCTGGAACAAGAAAAGAAACTCCGGATGGACCTGGAGAGAGCCAAGAGGAAGCTGGAGGGTGATCTGAAACTCTCTCAAGAAACTGTCATGGATCTGGAGAATGACAAGCAGCAATCAGAGGAGAAGATCAAGAAGTAAGACTTTGTCAAAGTATATTAAAGATATTTTAAATTTGAAGATGCTTTTAATATACAAACTTACTGGAAATATCCTTTGTACTTCACAGGAAGGACTTTGAAATAAGCCAGTTCCTCAGCAAGATTGAGGATGAACAAGCTCTGGGTGCCCAACTGCAGAAGAAGATTAAGGAGCTCCAGGTACTACAAAAGATGTTTAATTTGAGATAATCTGATCTGTTTGTACTGCTTAATCTCAACTTCAACCTGGACATTTTCATATTATTCCATATTCCATAGGCTCGTATTGAAGAGCTTGAAGAGGAAATTGAGGCTGAACGTGCTGCTCGGGCCAAGGTTGAGAAGCAGAGGTCTGATCTCTCCAGGGAACTTGAGGAGATCAGTGAAAGACTTGAAGAAGCTGGAGGAGCAACTTCTGCCCAGATTGAGATGAACAAGAAACGTGAAGCTGAGTTCCAGAAGCTCCGCCGTGACCTTGAAGAGGCCACTCTGCAGCATGAAGCCACAGCGGCAGCTCTCCGCAAGAAGCAGGCTGACAGTGTGGCAGAATTAGGGGAGCAGATTGACAACCTGCAGAGAGTCAAACAGAAGCTGGAGAAGGAGAAGAGCGAGTACAAAATGGAAATTGATGACCTCTCCAGCAACATGGAGTCTGTTGCTAAGGCTAAGGTAAATATTGTTGCCAAATAAATATGGCAATATGGCAATAATAAAAATTGTAAATAAACAATTTTGTTTATTTCTTTAATATGACATGTAATCTTCTTCTCCTTGAAAGGCTAATCTGGAGAAGATGTGCCGTACTCTTGAGGACCAACTCAGTGAATTGAAGAGCAAGACTGATGAGAACCTGCGCCAAATTAATGACCTCTCTGCTCAGAAGGCACGTCTGCAGACTGAGAATGGTATGGGTTTGTATTTTACTTCAATCAAGAGGAAAACTATGATGAAACTAAAAGCAGTGATTAACTTCAAACACAACTCTTTAAAATACAGGTGAATTTGGTCGCCAGCTGGAAGAGAAAGAGTCTTTGATCTCCCAGCTCACAAGAGGCAAGCAGGCTTTCACTCAGCAAATCGAAGAGCTGAAGAGGCAGTTGGAGGAAGAAATTAAAGTAATTTCATTGATATTTTTCAGAATTGTACTTCTTCTCATACAGAATACATTTAAAATGAAATGGTTAATGATTTTAAATATTTACAGTTAAAAACCTATTCCATTTTTTTTCCATTTATAAAACTATATCATGATCCTTCAATTAAAGTTTTAAATATTTGTCTAAACTGCAGTGGTGGCATACAGAAAAGTATGATCAACATAACATAAATTTGAGCTTTGTGCTGTTAAAATAATCTATGAGGAAATACTCTCTATAGCATTTATTTTGCTCACAAGAAATTACGCTAAATTTAATTCAGTTAATAGCTGTGCTAAAATCACATTTGAAATAAAACTGGACTGTTAGAAGTATCAGACATATATAACAGAATAAAATAAAACAAATGGTTGAGGACTATTTCTTTTCTCTTTACAATACCCTTTAAAGGCCAAGAACGCCCTGGCTCATGGTCTCCAGTCCGCCCGCCATGACTGCGACCTGCTCCGGGAGCAATTTGAGGAGGAGCAGGAGGCCAAGGCTGAGCTGCAGCGCTCAATGTCCAAGGCCAACAGTGAAGTGGCTCAGTGGAGGACAAAATACGAGACTGATGCCATCCAGCGCACTGAGGAGCTTGAGGAGGCCAAGTAACTGCATTATTTCTACTGTTAAACTGAGTGCTTTCCTGTGAGATCTAAAATGATTGAACTAATTCTACCAATCATCACTTTCCATAGGAAAAAGCTTGCCCAGCGGCTCCAAGATGCTGAGGAACAAATTGAGGCTGTGAACTCCAAGTGTGGCTCTCTGGAAAAGACCAAGCAGAGACTTCAGGGTGAAGTGGAGGACCTCATGATTGATGTGGAGAGAGCAAATGCTCAGGCTGCTAACCTTGACAAGAAGCAGAGAAACTTTGACAAGGTGAAGAAGCAATTCATGTAGAAGTGCAAAAAACAGTTCAATAAGTTTAAAATAAGACACCTCAATCCTCATGAGTAAGTGTCTGATATACTACTGTAGTTCATATTTCCGCAATTCTTTTATTCAGGTACTGGCAGAATGGAAGCAGAAGTTTGAGGAAGGCCAGGCTGAGCTGGAAGCTGCACAGAAAGAGGCTCGCTCTCTCAGCACTGAGGTCTTCAAGATGAAGAACTCCTATGAAGAGGCTCTGGACCATCTTGAGACCCTCAAACGAGAAAACAAGAACTTGCAGCGTAAGTACCAGCGACCAGCTTTATTTGTGGCAAATAAAATTTTGAAGATTTCATTTGTGAGATTTGATCTGGACTACAGTTATGATGTTTCAAATATAGGATCTTCACAAGAGCTACATCTTCATGATATATTACAGAAATAACAGTCAGCATACTTGTCAGAAATTATATTCGAAAGACATTGTCTACATATGCACAGAATGGAACAAGGTTATTGTCTTTATTATAGAGGAGATCTCAGACCTCACTGAACAGATTGGTGAGAGTGGGAAGAGCATTCATGAGCTGGAGAAGGCAAAGAAACAGGTGGAGACAGAGAAGACTGAAATTCAAACTGCACTGGAGGAAGCAGAGGTAGAGAATTTTTTTTTTTATGGAAAATTTCTTTGATAGTAATTTTGCAAACATTTTACACATCATATTTATGAATTAGAGCTGATTTCTAATTAAAATTTTGATCTGCAGGCCTCCCTGGAACATGAGGAGTCCAAGATCCTTCGTGTCCAGTTGGAACTGAGCCAAATTAAGTCTGAAGTGGACAGAAAGATTGCTGAGAAGGACGAGGAAATTGATCAACTAAAGAGAAATAACCAGAGAATTGTGGACACCATGCAGAGCACTCTTGATTCAGAGGTTAGGAGCAGAAATGATGCCTTGAGAATTAAGAAGAAGATGGAGGGAGATCTCAATGAGATGGAAATTCAGCTGAGCCACGCCAACCGCCAGGCTGCTGAAGCCCAGAAACAACTGAGGAATGTCCAAGGACAACTCAAGGTATGGAGTTGCTATCAAGTAGCAGTGTCAATTACAAAGGTGATATTCAAGGTACAGCATATTAAAATACATATTTTAATCAGGATGCCCAGCTGCACCTGGATGATGCCATTAGAGGACACGAGGACATGAAGGAACAGGTTGCCATTGTAGAACGCAGGAGCAACCTGATGCAGGCTGAGCTGGAGGAAATGAGGGCTGCCCTGGAACAGACTGAGAGAGGCCGCAAAGTGGCAGAGCAGGAACTGGTTGATGCCAGTGAGCGTGTCCAACTCCTGCACTCCCAGGTTGATAGAACATTCTTACACTTGATCAACTCTCTAAAGTGAGATTTCTTTCAAATTTGAACTAAAACCCTTTAAAATTTTCCAGAACACCAGCTTGATCAACACCAAGAAGAAGCTGGAGAGTGATATCGCTCAGCTGCAAAGTGAAGTTGATGACACCATCCAGGAAGCGAGAAATGCTGAAGAGAAGGCCAAGAAAGCTATCACCGATGTAAGCAATGCTGCATCACATTATTTTTATGTGCTTTTAAATTTGGAAAAATTCACTGTATTTTGATTTATCATAAAAATGTAGGCTGAAAGAAGATAAAGGTGATTTCTAAATGTTTCTTAACACTACTAATTTGATCAATTAAATCAGCATATTCCTCTATAATTCTAGGCTGCTATGATGGCAGAGGAGCTGAAGAAGGAGCAGGACACCAGCGCTCACCTGGAGAGAATGAAGAAGAACCTGGAGGTCACAGTGAAGGACCTGCAGCACCGTCTGGATGAGGCTGAGCAGCTAGCAATGAAGGGTGGGAAGAAACAGCTCCAGAAGTTGGAAACCAGGGTAAGTGCACAAACATAGCAACCCCAGTCAAACAACTGAAAACTGAATAATAAGAATTATTGTATAACTTCCAATATTTTCTAGGTCCGCGATCTGGAGAATGAGCTGGAGGCAGAACAAAGACGTGGAGTCGAAGCCATTAAAGGTGTCCGCAAATATGAGAGACGAGTAAAGGAGCTCACTTACCAGGTACTGTTTGTAATTATATTAATTCATATAATTTAAGCTACCAGGTCATTAATTTTAAGAAATACTATATATTAACGTATGATTTATATTATTATTTATCACCCTTGCTAGGCTGAGGAGGACAAGAAGAATGTGAACAGACTCCAGGATCTGGTGGACAAACTTCAACTGAAAGTGAAGGCTTACAAGAGGCAGGCTGAGGAAGCTGTAAGTTAATCATTAATTTTGAAAAAGTCATAGCATTTACCACTAAGTACAATTGGGGTTGCGATAAGTTAAATATTAGTATATTAAAATTATAACATGTTGCACTTGCTTTCACTTACAGTAGCACTTAGACTTAGTTTGGTTTACTCAAACAGATTTCTTTTCTTTGTCCAGAATTCTAAAGAATAACATAGTCCCTGTTAGCAATATTTTTGCCGAACAATAACTACAATCTTGGCCTTTCAAACCAGTAAAAACGGATCTAGTTGGCTGTTTTTGCTAAGTTGCCATGTCCAAAATCCCTCATTGGATCCTGTCCTGTCTTGACATTATTCAACTGAGGCCTTTTACTGCTCAGAATTATGGTGCCTAGATGGGGATTGCAAATATAACAATCCCCTTAGTGCCCCTAAGAAATACAGTACCTTAGTGCATGGTACTTCCATCTAAAGATTACTAGTTTCATAAGGTGGTAGTACTGACGGTGAGGGGAGTGGAACAAAACATTTCGGATCTGGTTCCCAAAAAGCACTGGAATAATATCAGATGTCAATTTGCCAATTTGCTTTTTCTTACAGGAGGAACAGGCTAATTCTCACCTTGCCAAGTTCAGGAAGGTGCAGCATGAACTGGAAGAATCTGAGGAGCGTGCTGACATCGCTGAATCTCAGGTCAACAAGCTGAGAGCCAAGAGCCGTGATATGGGCTCTAAGGTACTGTATACTGAATCTTAATATTTTCAGATTGCTTTCAATTATCAGCTTTGTAGCACAGACTCAATTAAATTTGATGCATGATTCTTTGGCTGCATTTTTATTGAAACAGAATTTAAACCTACTGTATGTCTTTATCTTTACTGTAATTAACCACCACTATTTTGTTTTGTCTTTATAACAATAGGGCAAAGATTCCGAGGAGTAGAACCTTCACAGCGATTTCTTCCTCGTCTGAAACTCATAAAATATGAATTTCAGTTTGTAACAACTCTTTTGTGTCTGTTTTTGTGAATAAATATGCAGATTATCTAGTACTTCGTATCTGTGCTTTTCTTCTCAATCACACTCTTCTTCTCTTTTCAATCACACACTGAGAGTGACCAAAATCTTACATGCAAAATGATTTTTTCTTAAAAACTACTAGTGTTTAAAAAGTTGTTTTATTATAAAACAAGAAACACACAACACTAGACTTTATGGTCACTAATATGTAGTGGCATGTACTTACAGTACCTATAGTCCTGTATCTACTAACTCTGGGGCCAATGCACAACATAACAGTGTGTTGCTGAGGGATACAAAATATGAGGGTACTCTTCAAAGTTAGTACTCTCATTTTAATCACATCTAAATCTTTCCAGCTCTCCGGTAATCATATAAATAAAACATGCATAAGCTCTGTTGTACTGTAAATAAGTTACAAAATGAAAACTGACAGCACACATACTGTGATTGACATCCCATCATGTTCCATTTCAAATTTACTTCCACACTCCACTCTACAGGTCTTAGATCTCTACTTACTGTATCTGTGATCCTGCAAAACCACTGGGCCTTTTTGTCTTTTTGAATTTGGAAAGTTACTCAATGTAACAAAATTAGTACTGTTTTCAGTTCAGGTAAATACACTATTTAAAGCAATCAATAAGTCCATCAGCAATCTGAGCATTGGATCAATGTTAAGTTGTTTAGAATGCACTCCTTAGTTTTCATCTAAGGCAATAGCTTACTAATGGAAACAGAGTTCAATATTTAATATCCATATACCTAACTGTTAAGTTGTGTCATGCAACTAGCTCACTGACTTGAAATAAATAAATTCGTGCAGATTACTTGTTCCTAAATGTTTCTGTTTAAAACTACATTGCCAAAGCAGTGAAGTACTGCACCTCAGAAAATCTTTAATATGTATGAGAGTATTAAGAAAATACAAAGCCCTTGTCTAAATGCAAAGGACAACAAAAACTTGAGATGGGAGTGCATCACCAGATGCACCACATTAGATTATTTACATATTAACTAGAAAGTCACAATGGTAAATACAACTTTCTACTAATCATTGAAAAGGCTTTGAAATTTAGTTTTTGTCAAGATTTAAGCAGCAAATATCATATATCAGGCAACGCACACCTTACCGAGTTGTACATATTACATAGAAAATGAAGCATCTGGTTACCACCACCAGTTAGCAAACTCTGAATCAGAGGAACTGCCACCAATGGTGTCTCCTCTCCGTTTATTTGTTTCTTAACATTTACAACATTTAAAAGAAGAAAATATAAACAGTTAATCAAACATACTTCAGTTGGAAATACTATAAATTTATAGATCAGACAACACACACACCCTCATACACTGTACACTTTTCCTAGTAAAACAGTCATACTTTGTAGCCAGCAAACACCTTCATCGCTAAAAGGAATGCTCAAATCTACAGTATTGTTGAAAATCCACAGATCTTTTTTGTTCCTTTCTTTCATAGTAAAGGAAACTGATACTCAGATTTCATATTATTGCTTATTTGGCATAGGGCAATTATTGGCAGTCCAGAAAGCATGCTCAGAGTCCGCGAGCGGCAGGGATGGTATCTCGGCAGAGGCAGAGAGAGCAGCACACATTACACATAGAGAAAAGGGAAGGGATCCTGTGAGGGACACACCATGTTCTGCAAAGCAGAGGGTTAACATGGTGGCTCATGGTATTCACATCCTATCCATCTATGTAATTGTTTTCAACTCTATTGGCTACAGCACAAGAAATTCGATTTAAGAAATAAGCTGTCCACCAGGAGAAGGACTGTAGCTTGGTGTCTGCAAAATGAGCTGCATGTTGAGAGACAGATAACAGGTGAAATTCTGTGGGCCTGAGCCATGGGCTGTTTTATTTACTGTTTAATGCCATTTTCCCCTCGACACACCTGACAAAAGTGATGTCAAAAACAAAAGGCGACATGTGTGGAAATATCATGGAGAATGCTTTGGAGAGCTTTATATTGTTCAAGCCAACCTATGATGAAAATAGGATAATGGAAGGAGTAATTTTCTATAATGGTTTTGGACGGAAAGGAAAAATGATTTAGGTACAGGTTGAGAGCAACCTCACTGCTCAGCAACGCATTGGTGAAGTCCTTGATTAACAAAATTTTCATTTGTCTTTTATAAATATTTATTTTCCAAAAATTCAAAACAAGCTTGTACAGTATAAAGACTCGGACTCTAAATTTCAGAATTAAATCAATTTCTTGCACACTCATTGAAAACATATTTATGTTATTATAAAAAATGTATTGCTCTTTCAGGTGTCAGCAGATAATTCACTAATGTTGCAAGCATCTTATCATCATCTCATTTTTTTTCCTTCAATACATAATTTAAGAAAGGATTTTCTATATTGCTATATTAAAATGTTGTATTGTTGGTACTGATACTTCATTCATACAGTAAAAAAAAAACGTACAAAAGCTTTTGTAAAACAGAACTGAGAATCCATAAATCTACATACAGTATTATATCTAGGTGTACCAGGCAAAACATGCTCACAATTCCCTTTCAATAATTCAAAATTATGTTTCTCTGTAAGCCTGAGTTCTTCAAACATGCAACAGCACCAATGTAATAAAAACAGGGTATAATACATGGTTTATTTTTTTTTAGAATTTAAACTGTCAGAATGCTTTTGATAAAGATCCTTATCAATGAATTCTCAAATTGCAGGCAAGAGGCATTCTAGACTGTGCACATTTGTTAACTGAGACCTGGTTAACAGACAGAAAATAGAATAAACGCAGATAATGTTAATGCTCATATTGGTATGATGTATTTTGTGGTTAAAAGAGGGACCGAATTCATTCCCGAATGCAAAAGAAAGACATTGAGAGATTAAAAGAACACATTTTTTTTTCTTAAACATGGAACATTACAAGACACTGGATTTCAACATCGAAATCTAAACCAGGGGGCAGAAGTGGTTAAATTGCATTTAATACTAAGAACTAAAGGCCGTTTTTTATAAGAAGAAATGTATCAACCCATATTGATGAAGCTGATAACCTGGCTTGTGTCAAGAAATGGCTGGATAAGATCCTCAATCCTAGCAACCAATCAGTATAGGCTGAATATCCTGCTCTTAATTACACCTTCTTATGTTCTTATCTGCAGTTTCACACATGCCCTTAAATTAATATCTGCTGTATCACACAAGTTCATTTCTTAATTGAATGTGCTACCATTTTTGCATTGTAATACATTGAAAAGTCGTGGGAAATCATGCGTCCTCACCTCAGCACTGCCTCACAGCCACACAAAACACCATCACAAAAGATAACAGTATGTTGGCAAATCAAAAGTATCACATAAAAATAATAAATTAAATATAAATTTAAATACCGCTTTAAAACACTAAAACACTTGTACAAAACGATAGTCATTGCTATCGTTAACCTAGATATCAATCATTTTTATGTCAAATTTCCTAAATTGCTAGCATTAGAGATCACGTAACGCTCATCCCTGTTTAACTTTACGTTGCTTTATAATGTAAAAAGAGTCCCTCTTTGAGGGGTGCTTCGTGTTACTCTAACAGCCATGCGTGTTGACACAAACATTTTCTGAAGATAACATTATATTTCAAAGCGAACTCACGTCCGCTCATGAGACGGAGGAAGTGGTAGTTTTCTCCGCTCGAATCGTTACTCTTCTATAAAAATCTGACTCGGGTACTCAAAATCAAACTACATTACAAATCCACACTTTACCGGTAATCCAACAGCAATTCAGCTCTCCACGCGATCCGATTAATAGCACCAGGAAAATAAGTAGTATTTTAAACTCATTTGCAGAACTATATGACTATTTTAAGTTTATAATTTTAAGGTATAAGTTTTAAGTTATACCATCATTAAAAAATCCTTCGTAGGATTTACTGCATATTATTTTCGTTTATGTTCCTACAGATAATTTAAACCTACAGTGCGAGAAAACGGAAATCCATATCTTGCCAACAGAGGGCAGCGTTCACAAACAACTGATTATACAGTGCGTTTCTGGAGATCTTGCCTTTTTAGAATGTACAGTATTAGCAACGTTGGGCAAATGAGAATTATTCACCCAGATATCGCAATTTTAATGTAATCACTAAGGAAGAACTTAAGTGTCATGGCTCAAAGCATGTTGTTAATCTAAAAAAATAACACGCTATCACCTTGAGGTACGCGAACTGGTCATAATAAAAAAACAACCTTATAAAATAATTCTTAATATTACCTGAAGATATTCGAACGTCTCCGACACTTGAATTTTGAATATATCCTGTTATGCATCTTCCATGCAATGAACTGTATACTTTTACCTTTTAGTCGAAACGAAGGCAAAGAAAGAACTATTTCAATAAACTGATCATATCTCATTTCTAGCTTTTTGTTAATTAAAATCTATTAGTTTGTTAAATATTATGCAGTACATAACATAATGCGGTACGAAGAGCAGCTTACGAGGGAAATGGAGTGCATTTGTGAACATCCGAGTACTAGTTCCATTAAATCGAAATGTGTCGTGCGCAACATTGGCAGAATATTTGGCTATATTTGGGATAATCGCAAATGTGATAAAAGGTGTCACTTGTCGTATTTTATGCGGTTTGAAGTATTATTTATGTATGTCCTTACATATTCTTAAGATTTTGTCACCACTCCAGAACTAGGCTGTTATCCAATGAATACTGCATACAGTATGTACGATATTTGCTGAATGACAAACTTATATTGGTATCCCTCGGTCAGTTCCAAGTCATTAAAAGCATGCGGCAGCAATTAATAGGCTTAAACGTTTTCACTTGATACTATTAAACTTCTGTAACTGGGTGAATGCTCTGAAGGCAGTATCTAATCTTAACATAAAACGTATTTGCCTTCCGAATGAACAGGTTACCAATTCTTAAACAAGATTTACAATTGTTATTATTGCAATTTTGAAGAGCAATATGATACCTGACCCATCAAATTTATAAATCAAATCTCGTCAGTTAGTTTCAATAAACA